TTTAATATTTTATATACTAATTATAATGTGTAACTGAATTCTCAGAAGAATTCCTTTCTTTTTACATTTTATGCCCACTATCTTGATTTAGAAGAATGACCCCATTGTGATATATTAACCTTAATTTTAAATGCTGAGGACCCAGTCAAAAATTTTTATTATAAAAGATCAAACAATGATACAGTGTGGTTAAGCAAATAACATACCTAAAAGAATGTCTTAGCAATACAGCAGAATCCATTAAAACTTGGAGGCCCCCTCTTTTGTTGTATTCAGATGCACCTCCAGAACTGTCTCTGGGGAGTTTGGAAAGCATTAAAGGTACTTGTGGGGCAACACAAAGAGTTGAGCTGTTGTGGGGAGGAGAAGGGTGATCTGTTGCCTGGTGCAGTATTAGCATATTATTGGATCTAGTCCTTAGAAAATAAAAGTTGAAGAGAGGGGTTCTTGCGATACTCCTGACCAAAATGGTGACTTAATGCATGATGTTTAAATATATAGAATCATAGAGTTGGAAGAGAACATGTGGACCATGTAGTCCAATCCCCTGCCATGCATGAAAAGCACAGACAAAGCACCCCTGAGAGATGGCTATCCAGCCTCTGTTTAAAAGCCTCCAAGGAAGGCGCTTCCACCACACAATGTTATCAGCATATAGAAAAAAATGTGACTTTCTCAATGGGAGCCATCAGAAAAGTTTTTATGTCATTGTTAGTTGCTAAAGAGGTCAGCTAGAAATACCTGAAATTAGAAGTAAGATTTGTATTATGTTTTAAATTTATAGTTTTAAAATGTGAATTGAGATACTGCTAAGAAAAATAATAGAAATACAATTCTCTAAAAATAGGCCCCTACTTTCACATTGTCAAAGATAAATAGTGAGAAGGATATTAAAGTTATGCATAAAGAGAAGCCACAGTAGCTGGTAAACTTCCCAATTTGCAATGAAGGTTGACCTTTCAGAATGAAACAAAATACCACCCCTACCATATCACCTTTATTTGAATCGCACTACAAAGTAATAGGAAAAATATATCATGCGCCTCACTTCTATAATCATTTACTTCTTAACAAATCTAAAATTAAAAGTTCTTCCCAATTATTTTTCCATAAAGAAAATCCCCCAGTTCCATAATAGAGGTGATCATGCTTTTTTGTTAATTTAAGAATGTGTGCATATTTTTCATCAGTGCATAATGAAGCTCTGAGTGCCGTGTCTCTGAGATCTCTTAAACTTAAATCCTTACATTAGTATTTCCTGTAAGCATCTTAATGCTCTCACACTTGTTTAGCCACTGTGCGTGTATACCCTCAAGTTGTCTATCAACATACGCTGTTCATAGCGTTTCCTTAAGCAAGGGATACTCAGAAGTGGTTTTAGCAGTTCCTTCCTCTGAAATATGGCATTCAATGGCAGTCCCCCATCCAAGTACTAACTAGAGCTGCCCCTGTTTAGCTTCCTTTAGGATATTTAGGCATTTCAGCCCATTGTGCTAATGATAATGCTACTTCTTTTTCCATCTTTTATGTTTAGTCTCCATTTTTTATGTCTTGTCTTTTATCTCTAGTCTCCTTCTCAGTTATCCTTTTATCCCCTTATATAGTCAGGCATATCCTAACTTCATTTCAGCTAAGCCTGCATTCCTGCTGCCCAACACGTTTTCTCAGACTTTTTCTCATCCCAAATAAATGTGATCCTCTTTCCAAAATGGATTAATTTCAGAGAAGAGGATAAGCCACTAGAAACACATTACACATCCAGAGTAGCCTCTTATTTAAAAAGGGAAACGGTTCACTTAACAGCTAGCAGAAAAAGAGAGAGTAGAAATGTTTCTGAAATCAGCTGTACAGTGTATTTTCAACATTCGTCCTAGTTTTGTTTTTCCATGCTGAAAATACCCTTCATGAATCTGAAAAAGAGACTGATGGACCAGTGTTGGGAACAGTGGGCAGGAGCTAGGCTATGGGATTTTCATCATTATCATGAGACTTGCAAAACTAGTGTTTTGGTTCTTTTTAGAATACACTGATTAAATGTCTTAAAATATTTATAGAAGTCTTTATATAGTATTTATATAAATGTTGGCTATTCATTATTGTCTTAGGATAAATCTCCTAATTTCTTAAACCAACCAAGATAAGTCTAATTTTTCAATTCATTTCATTCTAGAACGAAACTTAGAGAACCCCAGCCCTTGAATATCTGTCTGTTTTTGTGAAAGACAGATAAAGGCAACTTCTTAAAAGGGGCCCCCAAAATGTCAGCTTTAGTTAAAATCTGAACTTTTCAAACTACAATCCTTACAAGATGGGCAAATGCTTCAGGAGACTCAGATGAAAAAATATTGCAGCCGTGACAGATGTGTAAGTTTGGCCCTGAAACTGGGAGGGGAGGTGCGTGGGACTCAAGGCAGAGATTATGTTGCCAAGTGGATCTTTCAACTTGCTTACAATACACTCTATAATAATCCTAAATCGGGTGGAAGCATATACCCTGTATCTTCTAGCCTATGGAGTTTTATTTTAGTTTCTGTGGTCTATTTCAGTGGTGACAAACGTTTTGGAGAACAAGCACCCAAACTGTAATCCAATAGCAACTATAAGGTTGGAGGTGGGGGGAGGAGCTCCTGGCACGCATGCCATAGGTTCACCTCCACTGGTCTATGACATAAGCAAATGGGCTCGTGTAAGTCAATGGTGAGGGTTGCAAAAAGATTCCTCCCTTGCCCCATCCCGCTTGTAGTGGGGCTGCTGTTACTGCTGTAGAAGGAGGACAAGAAGAATGGTGCTCAAGGAGAAGGGAGAAAGAAACAAGCCTGGCAACAAAAGAGAGAGTTTTGAAAGGCAAGGGGAGGGGATCTGTAACAGTGAGGTAAAAGGAGAAGGAAACCCCTTCCAGCTCCTTCAGATATTCACTAGCCTTCCTTCCTCCCAACCACACCACCTTGCTTGAAGGAAATATGATGATGATTTTGACTGTTTCAAGGATTGTGCCTTAACCTTCCTACAGAGCTTGGTTTAGAATAGGGTGAGCCCCTATTCGGTATCCACAGATTAAATCACCCATGGCTTGAAAATATTAACATATATATCCCAAAAGCAAATTTTGACTTTGTCATTTAATGTAAGGGATGCAGTTTTATTGTACCCTTGAATATGATGGGACTTGAGCTTCCATGGATTTTGGTATCGACTGAGGGTCCTGGAACCAAACTCCAGTGGATACTGAAGGCCCACTATATTTTACTTAAAATATTATTATTATTATTATATTTATTTATTTATACCCCGCGTTATCTCCCCAAAGGGGACTCAAAGCTGCTTGACATAAAAGCATTAGTATACAGTTTAAAATATACAAATATATAAACATTAAAACAGAATTAAACACAGCACTAAAAATTCACCGTTAAAAACCATCAAAACATATTCAAAGTTAAAATGTTCAGTTTTTATGTACTTATGCATGCACTAATGGCTATTTCTATAGCACAATTCATAGATTTAACCCTCCAATTTTAAAAAAAGTTTGATTTGTGTACCTATTTTTCACACCCATATACACATAAAAATTGGATGGAAATGAGTTGCATGTTCAAAAGATATGACATAAAATGCAGAGGGTAGGCAGGTTTTATAGCAGAATATTGGTATTTTGCCAGCTATCCATTTTTCATGACACATTTGCTAGATGAAACTGTTCGTGTTGTTTGGGCTTCTTATTTCCTGCTTACATAGATCTCAAAAGCTCTTAAAGCTATGTAGAGAAAGTCTTTTTTTTTCAATTGTTGGAGAAAGGAAAGTTAAGTTGTCGAGCTACTAAATAGATCGGTATTTCCTATCTTAGGTGAAGCCCAGTGAGAGAGACCATCATTGTTTCCACAGCAGAGGAAATATCAGAACATATCAGATTTCCCAAGTAAGAATTAGGAAGTGATGAATAGTCTCCATCTGCCAGTTGCGTCTAAGTGGTTGAAACCATTTGATAAGAAGCCATTCTGCACTATAGCCGAACACATCTTTTCTGAGCTAAGCAAATATATTAGAAATCTCGTGCACAATTGCCCAGATATTATACCCATTTTCCATTTTTTCCCACTGCAGAGGATACATTTTTGCATTTTTATGAAAACATTTGTGTATTCCTCACACCTCTGAAATTCACAGACATATATTCTCAAATGATCTAACAGACATGCATTTTTCACTGGAAGTGTTACAGAAAGCGCCAATGAAAACTACAGGGGAGAAAATAGTCCAAAAATATTGCATATATTATGTACCAATTTTATAGAAGAAGGTCATGTAACATGGCAGCTTTAGTAACTATATATGATTCAAAACAATCCTTTCTGTTTGTATCACATCCAATCCAATTTCTTTGAATAAATAAATAAAATTTGTTTTCCTTTGATAATTCTTTGAATCTGAGAAAGAAATGGTTATTAAAAATCACATTGCAGCAGAAATACTATGTCTTGCCTGAAGATCAATGCCCCTCTTTCCCAATATATCTGTCTTCATAATTCCCTTCTCAAGTCAGAATTTAACTAAATCACCTGATCTAGAATATAGATTCCTTAAGAGGGCAATGCCTTTCTATTCTATTTTGTAATCTAGCATATGAACTAACTGATATTTTTCCGATTGTAAAATAGTGCAGGGAGGGTGAAGCCATGACATGAATTCTTCAGTTAAATTCAGGTTCCTTTATCCAGCTACGGTAGAGTACAAATAGAAATTCTAGCAACCACCTAGAGATATGCAGTTGTATTGTGTAATTGATTTTTAGTAGGGTAGTATAGGAATGTTCTAGGAAACATGAAAGTCCACACTGATAGTAACCTTTCATTGATAGTGATCAAGAACCTATTCAGCATTGCCCAGAGCTCCTGGTGTGATCTTTGATATAGTCACTATGAATATCATTTAGCAACTGTTAGTTCATATTGAGATTTCACAGTTTGTTTGGTTTTTTTCTGTTTCAAACTGTCTTTCAGCTGGAAAGGGCTATCCCTGTGAAGACTGTAATATAGTTCTGAACTCCATAGAGCAATACCAAGCTCACATCAGTGGCTTCAAACACAAGAACCAGTAAGTGTTTAAATGATCTGCTACTCAGGGACCCAAGTGTAAACACAACAATAATTTATTATGGCATACACACCTTACGCATAACCTAAAAATTTTATAGAATACTTCCAATAATTTTGTGAATGAAATGAAGTTTGTCTACAGTACTGTCTGGAATCAAAGATGTCACTAACTCAGCATCCCATGGGACAATCGTGGATTTGGGAGTATTTAGTTTTTGTTTTTTGAAGGTTTTTTATTAATATTTTTTCCAAAGGATATGATAGGGAAATAAAGAAGGGTGGAGATGTTCATAAATTAATAAATCTTAATAATGTTAATAATAAATATAAGGGACAAAGGGAAAACATTGCACAACATTTTAATGTATTGCACCCAGTTCTTAATCTGTATTGCCCTAATACCCATTGTTTAAACTACTAAGGTTTTTGAAAGGTCGATATAACTTCTATATAAGAGCCCTATTGCCCTTTATTTTAAACCTAATACTCCTCTCTTCTTAAACCTTCTTATATTTGATCTTGTTCTGTTTTTCTGTCTTTTTTTTTTTTTCAATTTTGGAGTACTTTGGAATTTGTTATTCTGGGTAAAGGATGCTTAAGTTGCATTTCCAAGGCAAACATATTTCCCAGTAGGCAATTGGTTTAATACATTTTGAAAGAGTATAAATAATCTTCATTGGTCTTTCCCTATCTCATTCTACAGTATACCAGGAGGAATTCCTGTTACAGCTCGGTACCCGAGAACACTGTATACAAGGGAGGAGACAGCAGGTCCTGATGGCTACAGCTATTTCAGTCAAGATCTGTAGAACAAGTTCCAGTGCTGTTTTTGAATTGCTGGTGGCCCAAGCGAACATCAGTTGCCGGCCTGCTATGATTTTATTGTTCCTCTGGCTAAACGAAACCTTCCTATCCTGCAGTATACTGGTTTAACAGATTGAGAACTGACTATTGGCTAAAGGATCTTGAAGGGAAAGGTCTACTAGTTGGCATTTGCTCAGTCCTTTAGAATAGTTTTCATAATGTATTCTCTTCCTATACTAGCTGGTGGATGGGGTGGGGTTTGTGCCTGACACAGGCAGAGCTTGACACATGACAGTGTTCTGTTCATGAGTCCATCCTTCCTTTCTGCCTGGAGGAAGAAGAAGCAGAAAAGAGTTCTACATCCCATGCTGGCCAGAGAAGATCAGCCTTTGGAAGAAAGTTTGTTTGGCTTGGTAACACAGTGCTTAATGTAAGGTGTGGAATGGGTGAAAGAGGCAGATGGATGATCTCATCTAGAATGGAGTGTGCTACATTGCTATATTTGTCTTGCTCCTTCATGAATTTGTATGAAGAGTTCCTTAGGTCACCAGTTTGCCATTTCCATCCTATTTGTAGTTCTGGAGCATCTGATAATGTGTTTAATAAATTTGTTTCTGTTAGTAATGTGAAGAATCTACTTCCAAAGAGCAAGTAGGTGGAGGCCTTGTTGAAGCAAATCACAATGACTCCAGCAAACTGCATTTCATTCTCAATTCCTCATGTTCATCTTGTGAAAATTATAATGTGTTTGAACCTAGTGGTGTGTACAGGCAGTCTCTAAGTTACAACAAAATTGGTTCTGTAGGTTTGTTCTTAAGTTGAATTTGTCTATAAATCAGAACAGGTACATTTTTAAGTAACTCCAGCCAAAGATAGATAGATAGCATAGGGAAGAATTAACACCCCTATAGTATTTGTTTTGCTGATTTCACCTCACTTTCTGTGCCTGTGATATTTGATTTTGAAAAAATTGGCTCGTTGTGGAAACAAGGATTAGTGATCAAGCTTCAGTGCCGACACCTTTTCCCCATAATAACTCTTTCAGGAGTGAATTTCCCTTCCTAGGGGTAGAATTCTCTCTCTTCCTGCTGCCACCGCTCAGTTTGTAACTATGAGTTGTTTCTAAGTCGGATATTTGTAACTTGGGGACTGTCTGTACAAGGTTTTGTTGTATTAAAATGTTCATCAAAAATGTCTTGATGTGGTAGAGGCTTCTAAATTTTGGTTCCCCCCCCCCCCCCCAGAACATTAAAATATTTAACAGATGTGTACAACAGAATGGCAAAGTCAAGAWAATTTTGAGGCAGGAGCATGACATTTGCGCGGTTAATTTCATTAAGTCCTCATTCTAAATGAGAAAACAACACGTTACATAGTTCTACTATCGAGCTTCATAAATCCTGTTGCCATGCCCCAAGGCTTGGGTTTAAAATACCATATCTTTTAATGCCTTTGCATAGGAGCTCTTGCAGTTCTGTTTGGACAAAATCTATTTCTTAGATATCTCTGTGCTCCAGCAAATCTATCCATTTGTTTGTAATAACTTCATTTGACTCAGGAAAGAATGTTGGTGACTGCTGGGAATAATACTTAAGGTGAATTGTTTCCATGCCCCTCTTGGAAAGAAGATAAAATGTATTAGTCACTTCCTTTCCCTTTGTATACAGTGTTCCCTCGCTACTTTGCGGTTCGCTTTTCGCAGACTCGCTGTTTTGTGGGGTTTTGCCTCCCAGTTTATGAATGGTTGTCGTTGCCCAGAGTGGCGTTCTAATCCCGCCTCCTGGCAACAATGGAGTGTGGAAGGGGGTTTTACCCTCCCCCTCGGGAGAGAGGCAGCCAATCAAGAGAGATTGCAAAGCAAAGCAGAGATAGTTAGCAAAAAAAAAAGGTTCACAGTGCCTTTAAATCTCTCCCCGCTTCTGCCTCACCCTCGAAATGCAATATACATATATGGCATGCCTACTTTGTGGATTTTCACTTTTGACGAGTGATCCTGGAACATAACACCCACGATAAGTGAGGGAACACTATGTACAAGTAGAAGTAAGCTTGAGGGCTATTGACATCTAGGCTAAATCAGTGTTTACCTGAGGACTAGTTTCCAGAACAGTGGGTTAAAATTCTGATCTTCTTTGGCCAAAAATAAGGTTTATAAATCCTATCATATAATAGAAGTATTGTGAGATACTCACTCTTAACACTCTTTTCTGCTTTTGTTGAAAACAAATAATGGATTTTTTTCTTTGTCCATATTTGCTTTAAGATGAATCGTGATTTTGGTGAACCCCTGTTTGCAAGCTTCTTTGACTCGTTAATCCCATAATTAGTGGAGGATCCATATTTTCTGTGGATACTTCAGTTCTGTTTCCTATGTGGCTTTTGCTGTTTTCTGTTACATTCCTAACCAAAGCTAGAAGGCAAAAGTTGTGGTTCTTTTCACAACTGGCTATAGAATTGCAGAGTCCTGTCCTTTATCATGTCTAGTGGCATGCTGTGTGAATTTGTGTGCCCTCCTGTTCTGATAAAGTGAGGTTATTAGCTGGTATCTCTGTCTCTTCTAGTAGCCTCCTGATCTCCATGTGAACACTACTACCTGTATACTTTATATATAGCTGCTTTGGTAGGAATTGCTTCTCTGCCACCTAGAAAAGTAAAGGTGAAGGTTTTTGTCTCTCTTCTGTCCAAGCAGTAATGTTAATCAAGATAAGATTCTGATCAGGCAAACCTAGCAGTGCATTTTCTTGTATTCCTTCCTATCTGCAGTGATACCTTACAGCCCATTCTAGATATGGACTCATTGACATGATATCATCATCATTGCCTTTATGTGCTGCCAGGCTTTTGTGTCAAAATGAAAGCATAAGTGGTTTTTAATGCGAAATTTATATTTGTGACTTTATGTTGGGGGATGGTTGATAGGAGTAGTTGTCTTGAAACTGAATTTCGTATTTCCAATAGATTGAAAAGTGTTTGTTCTGTCAGCTGCCCCCATCACCACCATTTCTTCATTTAGTTTTGATCAAATGACGTGACTCAAAGGGGACAGCAAAGTTCTCTCTCTCTCCCTCTCTCTCTCTCTCTCTCTCTCTGACGGCATCTGTAACAAAAAACCACAAAGGAATATATGATATACAGCTTTCCTTAAATAATTGATAAGACAAATATGTATCTTCTGATTTGCCAATAGCTATGTTTATATAAGCCTTGGTTTATAAGCTTCAACTTCCCCTGCTTTTAACTTTTGTCTTTTGTCATTCTCCAATATCTTGCACTGTATTTTTGGAGACTGCTCTCTGACATACTGAGTGAGCATCTTCAGTTACTGAGCAGAGATCTGGAAACCATAATTGCCTCCATGAAGCTCTGGTTTTAGATTTGGTTTCTACTGTATATTGAATTATGTTGCTGTTGTTAACACTTAATATTTTTGGCAAGTACAAGGCTGAGGAAGTACTCTGTTACATCATTACCATGATCCATGTGCTGGCTTAATCTCATATGGATTAGTCATTATAAATTCATGAATTTCTATTTGTCTTTTGCCTTTTTTTTTCAATAGCTAGACATTCTCCTTCTGATTATAGAGATTAAAGTATTTTTTCTATTCATAACAATTGTTCTGATTTTGCCTCCCTTTAGAGCTAGATATCGGCATGCTTATTTGTTCCATGAAAATCTAAATGCTTCCTTTAAAAAGAAATCACACAATGTGAGAAATTAATTTAAGGACCACCATTTGGAAATGTTGTGCCCGTGACTGCCTGAAACTGCCCCCCATTAGCCTTACAATATGTTCAACCCTCATTTTTTTCCCATAAAAATCATGGAGAAAAGACACTTTCCTTTCATAGCACAGCTTGGCTATGTCACCTAGAATAGGCCATGAAAGACGGTGATAGATCCACCAAGCTAGTGATCAAACATGAAGGTCTCTTTAGTTGATGGGCAACAGTGGTAGAACTCCATGCAAGTTTAATGGGCAGTGACCAGCTGTGAATTGTAGTCTGATATATGTTGCCTCTTAAAGCAATTTGAATGTAGGCTGACCTGCAAATGGGGATGATCGACTGTAATATCCTAAAATTGGTGGTTGGTGAGCTACAACAAGCCATGCTTAAATTTAATGTTGGGTTATATAATTGCTTTGAGAGAAGGGTTTTTTATTTGCTTAGTCTGTCTTTGGTTATTACAAAAATGGTGTTGTGTCCGAATCAGGACTTCCTTGTTTTCCTCTTTCTCTTCTGTAGCCTTTTAAAATAGTGTGGTAGGATTTTGGGGAAGATTAATCCTCATTGTGTACCTTGCCTCAAAAGGTTTTAGTCTCCATCCTGGTATCTCCAGGTAGTGCTAGTAAAGTTTTTTTGTCACAATCCCTGGAGAGCTGCTGCTAGTACATCTTGGTAATTGCTGTTTTTTGGGGGGTACCAATTTGATATAAGGGAGATTCTCATGTCTTGGTATTTCTGGCAAAAATATAGAACAGAAAGAATGCCAGTATTTTATCTACACAAAATTTACAAATTATGATTAATAGCAATGACAGTACACTTTGAACCAAATGTATACATCTTCTTTGAGGAGTCATCATCCCTGTGTGATGACGACATGATTTTTTAAAAGCAGGCTTGAGGCTTCATCAGAAAAATCAGAAAACAGTTTTGTTGGTAGCAATATTGAAGTTTCAAAGTCCCCAGAGATTAGCACCCAGAGGCCATTTCAGTGATACTAATGTGAGAGGGATTCCTTATTATTAATACTTTAGTGAGCCTGTTTTTTTTTTTTGTTTTGTTTTTTTTTTCAAATTCATGGCTTTCTCTCTTTTCCCCCAAAGGAGGAATAAGTTTCCATTGCAAAAGTTCTGGCCATATTTCCATGGATTTATTTATTTATCGAAGGAATTTTTCATCCGGTATTAGCCACTGATTGAGGTTTCCTGTTTTAGTTTTCCATTTTTGGACTCTTATTTGCTGAGGTGTTCTTTCAAGTATCTCTGTAGATCTTAGGAAGCTGTTTCTTGATTTAAGTCATTGGCATGCTGGTTAATATCCAAACAGAGAATGGTCCGGAGATGTCACTGCTGTGGTCCTTTCATTGCTGGCTGCTGCTTCCCAGTGGATATCAGATGGTCATTTCTCCAGCGGTTTTGGGCATAGACATCCTGTGATAATGCAGCATGTCTCATTAAAAGCCACATCTACTGGTTTAACGTGGTGATATGTATTCCATACTGGGCATGCATACTCAGCAGCAGAGAGCAAAGTGCAAACGCAGATGTCTTCATTGTATCTGGTTGTGATCCCCAGGTTGTCCCAGTCAGTTTTCGTATGCTATTATTTCTAGCACCCACTTTTTGCTTGATAGCCAAACAGTGTTTCTTGTAAGTCAGAGCAGGGTCCAAAGTGACTCCCAGGTATTTTGTGTGCTGCAATGCTCCAGTCGGGTTCCTTCCCAGGTGATTCTCAAAGCTTGAGATGCTTGTCTGTTCTTAAGGTGAAAAGCACATGTCCTTGTTTTAGATGGATTAAGAATCAGCTGGCTTTCCCTGTAATTGGCAGTAAGAACACCTAAAGCTTCAGAGAGCTTCCATTCAACTGGGTTGTTGTAATTTTTTCGGGCTGTATGGCCATGTTTCAGGAGCATGGCCATACAGCCCAAAAAACTTACAACAACCCAGTGATTCTGGCCATGAAAACCTTCAACAATACATTCTGTTCAACTATTTCAAAGCTCCCTACTTGAGCAGTGATGGCATGATACCATAAATATTCTCCATGGAGAAAATCATGTTTGCCTGTCATACGTCTTGTAAGACTGGGGCCTTCCTCTGTCAAACAGTAAATTGACTAGACTCAATAGATGAATTCAAGACTTATGCACACTTGAAATATTTTATTGTTAATATTGGCTTTTATTAAACTTACACAACAAAGGCGAACTTCATTGCTTTGCAGATTTGTGAAAATTAATCTCATTCTGATAATAAGGCTCCTTCTGTGGCTAGGGCTAGAACCCAAATTCTAAGATTGGAGGACTAATCTAATTGAGGATAGTGTGTGCTTCTTTGGGAATATGTGAACTTGGAATTTAGTGTTTTTAATGCTATTTGAATTGCGAAAATGTTGTACACTCAGTCTTCCTGTAATGAAATAATACATCTGTTTAAAAAAAGTCAATTTGTATTATAAGCAACTAGGCAAACAAATGCCTTCTCGCTTAAGAGAAGAAATCCCTGCTAATGGATCTCAGTGGAAGATGTTGAAGAAATTCCTCTTAGTTCACTAGGATTTTTAGTTTGTATCCTTGGAAGCAGATTACACTTAAAAACAAAACCACAATATTTAATATATAGCTATGATTGATGTCAAATGCAAGCTTAATGTTGTGCATTATATACTGTGTTAACATTGCTTCCTGAATTTTGGAGTCATTCAAATTTCAGAAATTGGACTTTGCTTCCTTGCAATATCAAAAGTGCCCACTCACCTTTTCTGATGTAGCAAAAGGTTACTAGTTTCAGACCCTCCAAAACCCCAGGGATATAGCTCATCAGTTGTTTTTCCTGGCCAAGATCTGCTTGCAGAAAAGGAAAGAGAAGCGCAGTCTACTGTATAATACATTTAAGGCATAGGAACTGGCCTGTCCTCAGTGTCTTTGTCTTTTGTGGGTCACTACATGGTCATACAGAACAGTAAGATTCCATCTATGTCTCTGGTGAGGATTTTCTGATTAACTGCTCCTGTCAAACAAAAAAGAAAAGCCTGGCATGCTTCTTTTGGGCCTGCCTTACATCCAAGAATATTTTTGTATGCAGGAACATCTTGTCATGTAAGACACTTAAAGGTGTTGTACTGGGCAATCACTGGCAACCCCTTCCAACTCTAGAATTCTGTGATATGAAATTAGCCACTTGCAATCTGATATAGTTGTAATATAATTCCCTTTTGGTTGATAAACTCATCATTTGATTTACATCCTTATATGATGCTTGTGAGCGGTTGTGTAAAAGATTACTCTTAACGAGAATACATAACCTGTCCCTAAAATCTGCCTCTTACCAGAGGACTGAAGCATAACCAGTATCACACGTTGTTATTTTTTTTAAATAGGGAGCCAGAGGAGGACAGAAAACTAGGCCATTAAGCTTAATGCTTGTTTCAGGTAAATTAATGGAAGGTGGTGTAATCAAGCATAAAATCCTCAAGAAATTGGGCAGCCAAAAGTAAGTCCTCCCACTAACCCATTATGGAGTTCTTTGGCTGGCAGGCGACCCAAGAACATGAGTTGAACATTAGACATTGTCTTCTTAAATTTCCAAAAGCCATTTGATAAATCTCACTTCAAATACTCTTGGGCCCCTTTAGCATTCATAGGATGGGAAGTGAGAGGATAAGTGATCATATGAATCGGAAACAAAAAGCAGAGAGTAAGAATTCATGGTCACTTCTCAAAATAAAGGAAGGGGACTAGTGGGACCTGGGATGGCTGCTTCTAACTTCTTCCCAAATGATCTGGAGTTAGGGATGAATGGTGAAATTGCTGATAATTTCTTTAGGGTGATGAGAACAAAAATGGATTGCAAAGAGGACCCAAGGGATCTCTCTAAACATGAAGGACGAGCTGTGAATGCTAAATGAAATTTAAAGTAGAGAAATAGAAGAGTGGTTCATTTGGGGGGAAATCTTCATTGATGGCATTTGAGCTGGCAGTGACTGGCTAGGAAATGACTCTTGGAACAGTGGTAGATAGTGTTGACCCAAGTAGGCAAACATGAAAAGGGGAATATCATGTTAGTGCATAAGAATAGAACTGAACATAAAATTGCAAGTACTCTACCAAACTTTCACAAATCACTGCATAGCATGGAGATGGTAGATCACAGAAGTGCTCTCTCTTACAATACAGGAGATTAGGGTGATCAATCCACCGAAGCAAAATGGAAGGAAGAGCTACACGGTATACGTGGTTAAGCTGGAGAATTTGCTGCAACAATTTGAAGCTGCCGATTTCAATGACTTTAAAAGGGAATGAGATAAATTCATAGAGGATGATGCCATCTTTGGCTGTTGAACAAGAAAGCTACGTATTATTTCCAGAAGCAGAGGCAGTATGCCTCTGTGTATCAGTTGCTGGGAAGCCCAAGAGGAAAGATGCAATTGCACTCAGTGCTGCTCGTGAGTTTACTGTAGCAATTGATCACTCTGTAAACAGAATGTTCTCCAAATATTCTCCACGCTTGGATGGGTAGCCTCCAGCCACACAAACACAGTTTATTTCCTGTAGCAGCAGAATTTAGTGAAATGTCCGGTCTGGAGAATATCAGCAGGCAGTTCACAACAGCCCATCAGTTCAAACCACAAGAGAAAAATAAAAGCAGAGCTGCTGGGACCTTACTATGTCTGACCACATGGGGGTGATCGAGGAGCATTGAGTCATCCATAGTTTAAGGATGCCATCCAAAACATGCAGTACTTGGAAAAGAAACCTGTTTATGTCAATTGGTTTCTGCGGCATAAATGTTCAGGATTGCCA